GTGAATCAATGACTGATCTAATATTAGAATATGTGAGGAATTCCAAGTGTCTAAAAATAGTAACAAGAACAACAGTAATACATGTACATGTATGTACATTACATGTATATGTATATGTACATGCATGTATACTAAAAATACATGTACATGTACCTGTATGGTTTGTATGAGTCCTTCATAGCAACAAAACCATGACCACTTCTTATCTTAGCAATCTGTAGGAGAGAGGGAGGGAGGGACACTAATTAATAAGACCATTCTATAGTACAAGGTATTTTTCAAAATATTGGAATTTTCTTAAAATGGCCCTAACTCGAAAAATTGAAGTCAGAATTAGTTTAAACTTTCTACACAGCATAAGGACATCAATATGTATCAGAATACGTAATAAAAATTGGGGGGGGGGTGATTTTGGAGCCATTTTTCAGAAAAAACCATGGGTATTATAGCCTTGAATATTTTTCAGAATTTTGGCATTTTCTTAAAATGGCCATAACTTGAAAAATTGAAGTCGGAATTAGCTCAAACTTGCTAGACAGCATAAGGACTTCAATATGTATCAGAAAATGTAATAAAAATTTGGGGTGATTTCGAAGCCATTTTTTGGGAAAACCATGTGCTACAGTACAGGTGAAATTAGCATATAAAAATGAGACACTTCCTCTATCTCACCTCAATGCTGTCAGAGAAGAGGAACAATGCTATAGACAATGGTTTATTAGTCTTTCCATTATTGCTAATATTTAACTCCAACACATCATGTCTTGAAATAAACCAACGATGAGATGAAAGGACCGTCGCCTAAAGGGGAGGAGTCAGTTATTAAAGACCCCACCCACTAATTACCGGGACGTCCTCAATGTCACGTATAAGTTCAAACATGTGCATCTGCTTCTCTGTCTTCCTCTTGTCTTCATTTATGTGTCTAGAAGAATTAATAATAATAAATAAATAAAATACATGTACATGTAGTGATGTATAACTCACTCCATTACATTCTTAAGTTTTTCAACTGATTCCTCCAACTGCTTGTAATCAATGTGGCCATTATGTAATCAATTTGCAGCTACATATACATTATATGTAAGATTCTGCCATTACCCTTGTAAAAAATCCCAGCAAGATCTTATAAGATGTTTCATGATTTCACATGACAATACAAGAAAATGCAAGATAGAAATCTTGTAAAATCTTGTCACAGAAATTCTTACTAATTCTTGCTTTAAGATTTCATAAGATTTTAAGAAGCTGTCAGATCTCCCGAGATGTAACATGACTATAATTTTTGTAAGAATTTCAAAGATCTTATGAGTAAAGGAATATGTTAGAAAATGTAAGATCATGCCTAATTAAAATCTTGAAATATCCCACATTGTGAACTTTGTAAGAACTAACATGATCTTGTTAACTTAAAATCTTATAAGATCTTACAAAATCTCATAAGTTTATGATCTTGACAAATCTGCCAATAATCTTATGATACTATAAGATCACACATCACAGTATTTTGAGTCTTACAAGATCTTGAAAGATCTTACAAATCATGTGACGTCACAGGAAGTGTTGACAACCCACGATAGCCTTAACAGTAATGGCAGCATATAAAGAAACTGAAGTTTTAATCACTTCAATCAAAAAATCAATGACGTTCACATTCACATTTCACAACATTTTACACATGTATTATGCATTCATGCAATGTAAGATCTTGCCTAGATTTTACTGTTGCATTAATTTTTAAAGAGCATTGTATGCTAAAATACCATGCAAGAACTTGAAGGAATCTTGATAACAAGATCTTCCACTATCTTACATGACCCTTGTTCCAAATTCAGGAAAGATCCTGTTAAGACATAGTAAGAATCTTGAAAAGATCTTGCATTTGATCTTGCAAGAACTTGAAGGAATCTTGATAGCAAGATCTTCCACTATCTTACATGATCCTTGTTCCAAATTCAGGAAAGATCTTGCGAATTATTGTCAAGATTCTTGTCATGATCTTGTAAGAAAATTAACAAGATCTTGCTGGGAATTTTTACAAGGGATAAGCATGTGAATGAATAATGGTTCAAAATGATGGGCTTTAATTTTGAAAAAGACTATCAAAATGAGAGAACTATCTTACCCAACATCAGCTAAATTACAATGTACAGTACATGTAAATACTAGTATTTATATAATATACATGTACCTTGTAGTAATAATATGATCCTTGGTATTCTTTGTACTGGTGTTATCAGTAGTTCTGATAGTGTCTGGCGGCCACACTCTGGTTTGGACTCATTACACTTAAGGAAAGCATGAAACCTTGGGAACTGACGATCACAGGAACTGAGAGCCTCCTTAGTGACTTCAAAATAATTTATATATGGAGGATACACACGTAACAGCTCTTCAGACTATAGGGGGAGCCATTGAGTTATGAATAAAAATATAATAATTACTATTTCTGAATAATACCCCAGGGTATACAGCCCATATTTTTTCCAAAAAATGGCTCCAAAATCCCCTCAATTTTTAATTAAATTTTCTGATGCATATTGATGTACTTAGCTGTGCAGAAAGTTTGAGCTGATCCTGACTAAATATTTTTGAGCTATGGCTATTTTAAAGTGGAACTACTCCCTCTCTCTCCTTCCTCCTCATACAACAGCAATAACAATAACAGATACTGTACTGGTAAAAATATTTGTGGTGTTAAATTTTCATGATTTTTGGGAAAATATTAATTTCGTAGTGTTTCAATTTTACGTTTTCTTTTTAAAGCACTATAAGGTGTGGTCATATGAAGAATTTCACTGGATTAAAACTTCACACAACAAAAATAATGAAAATTAATCCCACGTGATATTTTGTACCCATACAGTAGTATAAATAAATAATAATTATAGAATAACTTCTTAGAGTCAGGGTTCAGTGAGCTGGTAATTCTCATCAGTCATAACTTGCCAATGATTGTATCACTGATCCATCAGTTACTCCAGTACTACTGATAAATATATAGACACTAATAGTACATAAAATAGAATTATCAGTTTACAAAAGATGAAACTACCTCAGACTCACTCAATTCAAGCCTTTAAGCTCAATCAAGCATCACAAAATTTAGCTTTGCATCTTAGGATGGCTTAGCCCCTCCTACTTTAATTAGATCAGATCACGTGGGCGTTGTTATTGAGCCCCACCCTTCTTTGCAAAACTTGAGCTCAATGGCTTCTCCTGGACAAGCAGACAATACAAATCAACTGCAAAGTATGTTTAGTTACTTATTTCTTATACTAAATACAATTATTTAATAGTTACTGATCTTGCTGAGGTAATTCAATTACTCAAAAGACATGGTTACTCAGGAGTCACTTACTATGATCTTGGTCTTTATCTTGGACTATCTCCTACTACACTAGATGTTATTAATAAAGAAAATGAAAGAAGTGTTTTAACGTGTCTACGTGAGTGTCTTACTAAATGGTTACAAAAAGCTGATAATGTTCAGAAGAAAGGTGGTCCTAGCATCTATTCATTGGTATCAGCATTGAGGGAATTAGGAGAGAATGGAGTAGCTGATGGAATAGATATAGAGAGTAAGTTTAATGAAAATGAGCATAATTTTTTACTTCTTTATAGAGCATCCTGCTTGTAAAATTCTTGCTTGTCATTCAGCTCAGCAATCTCTTTTGACTACATTACCTCAGTTGATTCTACTTTTGCATACAGCAAAACTGATAAAAGAGATGATCCTTCCAACTAATGTACAAGGAGAAGCTCTTTTGATTCAAATAAAAGAAGCTGTTTGTATTGACTATCAAATACTTAAAGCATTTGCTGAGATTTTGTGCAAAGCAGCAGCCACTGCTGAGATAGGAAATACTATCATGGAAGAATACAGTAAGTACTGCAACATAGACATGTAAATAATAGTTTTACAGGAGAAGTTTATCACAGTGATGACTTCATTAAAGCAAATGATGCCAATGGTAAGAATTTGCTTTTTATGATGTCATAATATTATTTGAATTATAGGGTTAAAGATTTATCTTCCCATGAATGTTACTTCTCAGTTTCAGTCCATGCGATTAAAGATGGGGCAAACATTCTTCAAAGTGGGGTCAATCATGATGAATAACCCTCAGTCTCCATCCATTGATAATATCAAATCTGTATTGCATACATACGACAAAGCATTAAGACCTCAAGTGGCTCAGTGTCAAGATATCCGTGAACTTTTAGAATTAGTTTGTGATAGCTGTCAGCTTGATGATATTAGTGTGCTGGAGTTCTTTGTTAATGAGTTCAATATAGAGGAGGCTAAATCAGTTATTAAGGAATATAAAAAAGCAATCGAGGAGCTAAAGGCAACAAAACTCAGTCAGTGTCTGAATGAAAGGATTTCATATGCTTCACCACTTGAGTGTGAAATTGTTACGATTTTTGTTGATGAAGTTGCTAACAAGTCAGTATTCAATGATGTCAAAAGGCTTTCATCAGCTGTATTTAAGGATCTATCACAACATATCAGATTAAATGTTGTTGAAGATGACAATTCCTTCACCATCACTTGCTCCTTCCCTTTGATTCTATCTGAGCAGTTAATTACAGCTGCTCTTAATAATATTGATGTATTGAAAGAAAACAAAGTGAAGAAATTAACCATTGGATACTGCACTGTGTATGAGGTAGATCTAAAAAAACTATTTTATGAAGTCATTTTATTATTAATACAGGTAAATGACACCTCCACTCCTACTAAATGTGGTTTAATGAAACAAATGATGCTGTCATTGAATGTACAACTGATTAACAGTACAGCGGTAAGTGAACACTAACTTAAATAATTTAGTCAAGTATATTGTAACAGTGTTCACCAGAAGTAAGTGAATTTTAACAAAATGATTTTACTAAAAAAGGAACTGAACTATTTTAAAAAATCACTCATATTTATAGTAACAGACAAATCTGGAACACTCTAGTCCAGAAAGTTCCAGTTAACAGAAAAGAATAGTCCAATGAATGAAAAGAATACTCTAATTAAATGCCTGTTTTAGCTTGCTTCTACTATTACATATGCCGTTTGATCCTATTGACATAACTTGTTCCTTTAATCATTTCATAGGAAAATACAACAATTAAGAAAGAAGCAAAGTTATTGAAGGAAAAAGCAGAATCATCAAAGAATGAAGCAGATTTGTTGAAGAAAGAAGCAGAGTCACTGAAGAAAGAATCAGGGTCATTAAAGGAAACACTGGATACTAAAAACAAAATGCTGAGTGCCTATAAAGCAGAGAGTGATAAGCTTGAAAAAAAAGCAGGTATAAATAATGTCATTGCAATAGTTCATTAAATTTTTTATAAGCTGAGATGAAGCAGTTACAAGAGAAACTATCACATTTAACAGAACGTGAAGAAGTTAGTGAGAAATTTGAACTATTTCATTGTTATGACATAGGAGAATGAGAAACTAAAAGAAATAAGAGAATTATTAGAAGAGCAACTTGCTTCATTTCAATCTGACAAAGAAGGTAATGTAAATGTACATGATAATATGCTAAATTGTTAATGATTAGAAAAAAAGCTCTATAGTGTTAATATAATTTTTTTTACAGAAGTCATACAACTGGAAAGGTCTTTACAGGAGAAGATTGAGGAGCAAGATGAAGAATTGCAACTACTTAAAGTACAGTTAGCATCGTATCAAGAGAAGGAAGGTGAAGAGGAAAGTTTTGCAGAAGAAATTGAGAAATTACAGTCAGCAACTGATAAAGATGAAAGTAAATAAGATTTACAAAACTTTTATACAATTATAATCATAGGAGATAAGATAGTACAAGGTTTGCTGTCACATAGTGGAAAGTTAAAAGGTATTTCATTTGCTTTAAGTCAGAAACTATGTTCTACATGTATTATGTCCACAGGAAAATTGTCAATGGCAGAAAAAATGATTGTGCAACTGCAAAAAGAATTAAAGCAAAAAGACCAGACTATGCAACAAGAGCAAGGTCAGTCCAACCAAGAGTTCACAATTTAGAACAATGTAAAGCATCACTAGCCAAGAGTAAACAAGAAATAGAATTATTGCAAGAAAAGATAACAACAATGACTTTACAACAAATTGAAAGAGATAAACAAGTGCAAGGTAAGCATTCACACAAATTTTAATTCATTTTTGGGTAGAAAAAGAACAAATGTTACTATTGAAAATTAAAAACTTGGAGAAAGGTATGTTTTACTTCCAATTTAATAATCATAATTATAATTCATTTTAGCTTTGGAACAAGAAAAAAATCCTCTTGTAAGCAAATTAGAATAATATTCCAAACCAATCCTCACTGATAATAGATATTTGAAGATGATATTCATGGTTCCATTGTCATTGATCATCCACTGATTATAAAAATTGTAAAAACACGTCAATTTCAAAGACTCAAAAATATCAAACAATTAGGTAAACTATAGGCCTTTAATTTCTTAATTAATCTTAAATGTACAATAGGTTACATATACCAAAATATACCAAAAGCAAATTATTCAAGGATGGAACACAGTATATATTGGGTAAAAATTAAGAAATACCGAAATATTATTTTAGCTTGTATGTAACTTGATATTTCAGAATGTACTATCTTGCTGGAGAGTATGTCAAACAACTTCAAAAGAGACAACCTGAGCTGAATATTACTGAGTCTGATGTTTTGTGTGTACAAATTGCTGCTCTCTGCTTTAACCTGGGTCATGGGCCTTTCTCTCATATTTTTGAAATGTTCCTGAATGAAATATGCAAAAAAAAGCACATTGAAAAGCCTTGGAATGTATAGGTGTACATAAATTTGTGTAATGTATTTTTTGTATTAAATATAGAATGTTTCTGAAGCATCAGTTTTGATGTTTGACTACATGTTTGCAGATAATGAAGATTTAATGGATTCTTTTAAAAGATATTTTGATAATCCTGAAGAATATATTACTTTCATCAAAGAACTTATGAGAGAAAAAAGGAAAGTATGCATTTAGTTTTATTTTTAAAATAATTATTACGTTAACAATTGAAATAATGTGACTCTATCATTTAGATGCAGTGTATCCAAGACAAAGAATTTCTGTATGAGGTACAATAATTGTATTTTATGTACAGTATGTATGTGTACATTATAGATCATATTAAATGAAAGTCAAATGAATGTCAATGTAATTGATTGCACAACAAGGGATGCTGCTGTATTGGAGGCAAAAATTGGTTTCAATTGGAGGTACATGTATAGCAGAAAATTTGGTGGTGCTTATTGCTTAATAATTATTGGTGATTCTAAGATTTCAATGTATTGGCAGTTTTTAACGACCTGGGGGCGTAGCATCCAGGTCGTTCCTATAATTGATTTCACCTTCGCGCTATGTATATATTTACCGTATGGAAGGAAATTTTGGAGGTATTTAAATTTGGCGAATTTGGCGTTTTGATAGCCATTCGCCAAAATAAAAATTCGCCATTTTGAGCCATTATACGCATGCTCAATGGCACGTGGCTACAAATTCGCCAAATTAAAATCCGCCAATAACCAAAATTTAGCAATTCGCCAAAATTTAGTCCCTCCAAAATTTCCTTCTGTACGGTATTTGTATGTCCACACTTACATTTCTTCTATACACGTTGTATTGGAGAAATAACAAGCCTTAGCAACCATCCGCCCACGCTCCTTTACGGGATGGGTGTGGCCACGGCAAACAAAATGGCGGCTTACACATGGGACAAAGTTAAGAGCTTTCTAACAGCAAGAGCAGGGGCGTATCTAAGGGTGGGCCTGGGTGGGCCTGTGCCCGACCAAGTCAGCAGACCAAAAAATTTTTTTCTTTTGTATATTAGTCCTTTTAAAAATATTGCTCACTTTATTATGATAGCAATGAGACAAGACTAGCATAGCTAATAGTTTTAGCCAGTGTAAATATAATGATGACATGGTAGAGACTTCCATAGCTCCATTTGGGCAATTGGGCTGCCATTTTTAAAATAATAACTACTACTAACCAATCAGTTATTAGACTATTCACATTAATTATTAAAGTAATCGAGTTGAAAATGGCTAAGAAACTCTGCTGAGTCTGTTTGAATGTCTTCCCAAGGCCAGTACTACTACTAATGAAGAAAATATAAGCACTAAAGTGCACATCTTAGCTTAATTAAAGTAATAATCGTAGTATTTAATTGACCACGCCCATCATGAATATTAATTAGCTCTAAAAATTTTTCGCGGCGCGCTTCGCGCGCCACATATTTTTTCTCCGTGCCCAGCCAACTCTCAGAGCTTAGATACGCCCCTGAGCAAGAGAGCATAGAGATACTGTCTAAAGACTTTTCTAAAAGCATTATAAGGTAGAGAGAACCTTTATAAGTCTTAATAACGACAAAGTTATACTTGCAAGGTGGTGAAATCAATTATAGGAATATTTTTTACACTGTTACGCTTGTTATATTGGGGATTTAGCAGCCATGTGTCATTGAGCATGTGAAAAAAACTGGTGAATTTTGTAGTGGCAATTTTATCATTTATCTACCAATTACCAAAATAAAACTCTGCGAATTTTATACATTTGTCACACATGTAGTCTATATGTATTTCATTTTTATTTTATAGAGTATTTCTGACCAAAGTTCGTGTTTTGAGGTGTGGTGATGGTAAATTACACATCTGCTTCCATGAAGATGTTAGAAAACATTATTTACATAATGTATCTAAATCCACACTTTTACAATAATAGGATTTGGAGACATACAATGATTTTTTTAACACTCGCAGTGGCATTTACAGGGACCTATATTATCTTCGTAAAACAAGAATTGTTGATTTTATGTAAGTACATGTACTGGGTATATTGTCTATTACTCAAAACTTTCAGGATCAAAATAATATTAACCAGAGCAAATGATACGGAATTGATTCCTGTAGACATGGATAGGTATTTTTAGTTTTGACATTTTACTAATTTCATATTGACACAGAAAGGTAACTATATTTGATGCTACTAAAAGTATGGCTGCTTATATACAACTCACTGATAGTGTTCTTACTCTCATTAAATCAGCTGTTAAAGATCCTCTTGTTAGTGTAAAAAATATTACAGTTAAATAATAATACCATGTAAATAGGCACAAGGACTGCTCAAGTGTTTGGAAACGCAAAAATTTATTGCACAAATTGGTTACATTGTACCACCAGATGGATGGACTAAGAATCCAGAAGATTTGGTAACTATTATTAAGTAGATATAACATTAGGATTTTCTAATAGAAAAAAGCTATTGTAAGAGAAACTATTAGTGATGACATTGGATATGATCTCATAATTGATGTAACTAATATATTTTATGAAATTACTATGTACATGACTACATGTACTTGTAGCCAATTCAAAATAGATATGAGGGGTATGAAGTATGGACACAATATTTTTATCGTGATGATGGCTCAACTGATAAATGGGTAGAAAAATGGGTTAGTTTTGTCATGCATTACATACTTACCCTATAACTTTTATCAGTCAAAACAAGTCTTTTTCTTGTTCAAATTAATATTTATCATCTAAATTTTTGCCATTTTTGCTATTCCATCAAACAAAACAGCCTATCAAATTGACAAAATTTTTGACCAAATAAAATATGGAGCTGTACCATACATGTATATCATTATTTATTGGATTGTAATAGGCACAAAAGAAATATCATGCTAATTCCCAATGGCGTGTTTTCCTTGCCAGTGGTAATAGAAAATTGATGGCGACAGTACAAGAGTAAGTAAAAAATGTACTAATGACATTAGACTAACTCAATAATAATAATAGAGGATTGCAAAAAGTAATGGAAAATGAAAAGATTCAATATGGGGTAAGAAATATATATAATTATATCAACAGTTATATGTACAAAATTCTTAGAAAATTTATCCAGCTCCAGAAAATTTTGACTTGATGCCTGATATCTCATGATATGAAAATGCTTTAATGGAATGAGTGAAATGAATTTCAAAAAGCTACAATTTAATAATAATGCTCAGTTCTTAGTGTAGAACTTATAATGTCAAATGCTGCCTATTAATAATTATAGTGTGTTATAGTAACATAGTAAACATATCTTTTGATTTAATTCATGATTATACAATTATAAATATTATTCGCAAAAGAACATGCACGTACTATAATGTAATGAGATAACATATATCAGGGATAAATGTATATCCCTGCTTATATACATGTATAAACCTGTTAATGATACCAAGACTACTGATATTGATGATATTCCAGTCTTTAAAACTTACATGTTCCTTTATAGTCTCGCTAGCCAGACTCTAATTTACCAAATAAGAGTCTGGTGCCATGCCTAATATCAACTCATGTTTTCAATGTTATGATTTGCGTGGGCAAGGAATGTTAATCTCTATAAACACGCCCACGCACCACAATATTGTGGATTTATTACTTTTATACTGATTTTATACTTGCTGGTATACTTATTTTATACTTCATACTTGCTTTCTGACATCAAGAAAAATAAAGCAGTCAAGTACTTGTCATTTTTGGTTTTTTTCGGTAGTGCTGAAGTTGGAGCAATCATGGCAGCTGAATTCATCTCGGATCCAAGCACATTATTTTTCAAAGCATTTCTTTACTTGCCTAATTGTCTAACCATCAGAGCAGATAAAGGCAATCCAGTCGGCAGTTGTAAAATAAATAAATAGAAAGAAAGTATTAATAGCTCACTCAGTTCCATTCTTGATAGTAGACATGCCGTGCGTGGGCGGATTCTAATGTAACCATAGTAACAGTGATCTGATTAGGTCGACCGAATTCCGCCAGACAATCACAAGTTGATGTTAGGCATGAAACCAGACTCTATTCTAAATATTGAGTCTGGCCCCGCGAGACTAGTTCCTTTATAGTCTGTAGATAAGACTATAGTCCCTATCTAGTTGAAAGTGTTAACACAGTGATTAGGTCAATGATCAGGATAGATTGATGTGGCTGGACCAAGCATAAATTATAATTACACTTCACATACATGTAGCTATAAATGCTTGAAAATGAAATCCATGAAAATGAATTTTGGACAGATCCATAAAAGTTTTATTCCTCAAAAGTTGCCAGCTGTATGGTACATTACACATGCACATTCACGTTTTGGATTTGTCATTTTTGATGATTATAAAAGTAAACAATTGCAAGAAAATTAAACTAAATTAGCTTGGGCTATGAGACGATTATAGAGGAGAGTTAAATGCAATGTAGTTAAGTAATAATAATTAATAGAGAAA